CAAGGGAGGCGTTTATTGCAAACTCGTAACAACTCTGAATTTATTGTGTAATTTAAACGCCAATTTAACCAATACAATCTAGTGGTACCGGCAAGATTCTCGGCTGTTACCACGGAATTACGCATCGCAGAAGTTTTGGAGAGAGAGCTAAGCAGCCAAGCTATGAAGTATAGCCACTTGAACTGATGAATAACATTCAAATTGAGAAAAATAAATTTCCACGACTGGTTTTATTTCAATGTTGTCCTTTTTTGTAAGGATAGATACTTGAATTTCTTACTGTGTTATAAATAAATGCTCGAATAAACGCCGCAATGACGAAAAGGTTGCGGCGTTTATTTGAGGCGGCGTTTAATATATTTTGCTTGTCCCTGCGGCGTTAATTCGAGGGCGGCGTTTATTCGAGGGAGGCGTTTATTCAAGTAATTACGGTATATATATATATATATATATACAGTAGGAGGCAAAAGTTTGAGTCCAGTGACTGTATTTCATTGTTTTAGCAGCATATATTAATATTCTATAGAAAACCTTACCGATAAGTGAACTAGAAAAAAGTAAATGAGTAAACAGAAAAATACATGCTGTACAACATCTGAGATGTTATGATATTCATTTTACGTGTTGTAATGTACAAAAATGCTTATATCAATGCTTAGTGTCCCTCTTTTTTGCTCTTGAAATGACGTTTATTCTTGCTGGCATAGACTCCATAGGTTTTTTAATGTTACACGTTCAATACCTTGCCAGCATTCGTTGACCACTTGCCTCAAGTCATCCCGGCGGTGGTCTGTTTGCCTCGCTCTTTTCCGGATAATACGGTCCTACAAGTGCTCCATAGGTTATAGATCAGGAATTTGAGGTGGAAGCCACGAGAACGAGATCACCAAAACGAGTTTGCTTTCTAAAAGATTCTGGCACATAGAAGATGTGCATGTGCTTAGGGGATTATTATGTAGTTAGACGCAATTCATCTCTTCTATAAAATGCCATTGTCCATGGAATCCTTTCAGAAGTAATAATATTAAACGCACCTCAGCACCTGCTATTTTTTAACCCTCCAAAAAGGAATACGAGTGTATATGACTTTTTCCTCGACGAATCCCACAAATCATGCGTTAAATTATGGTATAATTCGCCGATCTGTTTAAGAAATTCGCATCCATCTGAAAGATTTCTACGACTGTTTCACATGTATTCATCTCTGTCGCACTCTAAAACGTCGTCGAAAATACTGAAATATTTGTTTCGGATTGAGTTCATTTGAATGAAAAACAGGTCCCCAATGTTCTTGAACGTGTGCTTTTGTTTGAAATGGTATGTTTGATTTGATTTAGTCCTCTACCTCGCGATAAAAAGACAAAAACAGTGGAAAATATCACATTTTCCCTATAGTTCACTCCTCAAGGTGGTCACAGTAAGATGGCGGCCGCACGCATTTCCGGCTTCGTCTAGCTGGTACAAAGTGTGACCAGGTTTTCAATTTCTGAACTCTGAAGGGCAATTACCAAATTAGGTGACAGAAATTACTACATGAGACAAAAATTACTACGCACACATTTATCCCGCATTATCATTGGTAATTCCAAATCTTTTTCAAAAATATTCCTACTTTACCCTAACATAATCGTAAGGCAGACAAACAGGGGCCGCTTCATGGGCTGCTGGTACGAAAACTCAAAACTGGATAGGCCTACCTCCTAGGGAATTTTTCAACCTTGTAAGAATGCTCCGCCTCGAAAAGCAATAAAGCTTTTCTGTAGCCTGATTACTACAAATTTCCAATTACTACAATCATCCGAAAAATTACCAAAAATTACCAAAAGTAATTAAAATTACTACGTCTGATCACACTGCTAGCTGGTGTTACACCGGATAGCTTCCCCCCGCTGCTGCCGAAGTGCCCCCCCGGACACGATACTCTAGCAAATAGTATACTTCTTGACACTATCCGCGGTGGAGGACACAAATCGCCGTCGCGGATTGTGTCCGCGGGTGGCACTATCCGCTAGCCGGCGCTAGGACACCAGTTCATCTGTTATGCATTTTTTAATTCAGTTCTACCAAAAAGCACATCCGTCGCAAATGAAGAGGGGTGTGAATGGTGTGCGCATGTCAGCATGTGCCATGCGTTGTCGTCAGTTCTTTTCTTGGAGCAAATTCTTCACTGAAAAATGTATGCAATAAATTTCTTAGTGAATTCTTTAAAGGGATACGGCAATAAAAATTATCTTTGTCTATCTTAAAAGAACGTCATGAATATTTACAAAATTCGTTTACGGATTTTTGTTAACTTTATTACTTCTCAGTTCTCAAGATATTTTCGAATGAAATAATCTTCCTTTCGCCATTTTGGATATGCATATTCTTGTTCTGATATGCGTTACGTCATAAGCTGGGTGAAAATTCGTTTTGCAAATTCAAATTAACGATCCGGCGAAGTGATAGTTCCATGGTATTACAATCGCATGTATCTCAAATTATAACATTTCAATTGTAAGAGTTCTAAATTAAACCTAAAGTTGTAATTGTTATTCTTTAAGCCTTAACCCTGCTTTGATCATGACGTCACGTAATTAGATCTCATTATAAAACAAGATGGCGGATATATCTTGATACCGATGTTTTTGACAGTGGCGTAACCAGCCCGACAATTTTGTGTCCGGACCTGGTCTAGGACACAAAATGCAGGCCAACAGGAGGTGGTCTGGACCAAGCCAGGACCTGACCTGGAGCACGATTTTTGTGATTTGAACGGGGTTTACGCATTCCTCACCAATTTTCAACGTAGCTAATAGTATATTATCTGTATTGGATCCACACTAGTATTACCACTTTTTGGCGTGCTTTGCAGTGGGTATTACATTTGATTTTGGTCCAAGTATTTTATCAATTATGTTGGCTTCGATAATCGATATCATAGACAGTGTGAATACGACGCATATTACTTAAGCTTGTCCTAGACCTGGTTCAGGTGAGATTTAGGCCTCTGAGTGTAAACGCGGCTAAAGATTCAGAAGACACCGACAACTATCATTTTGTTGCTCAAGCTTTTTTTATATCCAATAATTGATAATTATTTGTCATTGTAATATTCCATGGGACATCTATAAGTTTTTGAATATAGTCAACGGCGTAGGAACCACGTTCAGACGGGCAAGGTTTCCTTGACAAGTTTTCTTGACCAGTTCACTTGCTGGTTTGTATGACGAACAAGTTTTCGTTGACAAGACAGACAAGTTTTCCTTGTCAAGTTTTATTTACTCCCATGCACGCGAGAAATGGACAAATTTTTATTGACAAGTTTTACTATAATATGAGATTATGAATATATTTTATAATGAAAATGAGTATACGACCAAATCTCAAAACAAACAGAAGTGATAAAATTTCAAAACCCAGCTGGATTGGCTCGAAGATTGTTGCGCGCTGTTCCCTACTGCGCACTTCCTTGTCCAGTTTTCCTCGACGGCCGTACACACGAGCATTTTTTCAATTCTTTCCGGTACACATGAGCAAATAAAACTTGGCAAGGAAAACTTGTCCAGGAAGACTTGCCCGTCCTGTACGGGGCAAGGCCCCAAACTAAACAAGATTGCTGAAAAGTTCTCTTTTGTTGAGATGAAGTATCCTTTTTCCCCGTGGAAACGTCTATGCCAACGCTGGCAACGCAATAATAATTTTAACTTCAAGAGTGTACAATAATACGTGTCACGCCTACGCCCTTTTCATCAGGCTAGTAGCCGCAGAAGTTGATGCCCTTACCCTCAACTTACATGTGCTCTACGCCCCTGAATATAGCCTAGAGCTAAAAATGTTAAATATTGCGATCCCTTACATTACATTACAAAAAGTGTAGATAAGATCCAGACGAGTTAGGCTAAGGGACGTAAATTTAAACATGCTTTTAAAAATTCAGGTGAAATTACCGACACCCCCCTGGTTCACTGCAACGGTCCGTCGTTCCTGCGTGGCAGTGCGTGCAGTAGCAGTACTACACATTTCCAGCTGCTTAGGGCCCGATTCCACGGGAATCGTGACCACTGAATATATTAATTCTGCTTGATTGGTCACAATTCAAAAGGAGCAGGCGAAACATTTCGCATTTCGCTTGAAAATTTCGCCCGTGGAAGCAGGGCTTTAGAGTGTAAAAATCAACCAATCAGATCCTCGACAAAACTGAATTTTAGCTTTCAGAAAAGCTGAATTTCAGAAGACTTTATCATTTAACACATGGGTCAACAAATGCGGAAAACTAAGTTTTTTCGATTAATTCACTTAGCTTTTTCAAATACGACATATATAAGGTTTAGACTTTTACGTGCGTGTACTTGCGTATAAATTTTATTGCATGCGCGTGTATCATAGATATCTATAGATATCTATTACTATTATTTCTATGGCGTGTACGTATGAGCAAAATACTCGACAGTGGAAATTGGCCCTTAAGGCTGCTTCCACTGTCGCGTTTTTTTTGCACGTACGTACACGCACGTAAAAGTTGAAAACTTTCTAAGTTGTTACATAATTAATTTTATTGCAGAAATAACATACCAAATCTTTCACAGAATCCAACCCTCTGCATCTATTCTTCTATCTGGGATTTTATAAGTATTATTTAAATGATTTTAAAATTTTACGTGCAAAAAACGCGAGAGTGGGAAGCGGCCCTTAATTGGAAGAACGAGGATGAATAATTCCAGGCGCATGATAACTCAGTTTTGTTTTGGCGCTTCACGAGGTCATGATACCAGATCAGCTGGTTTGTGCAGTATTGTGGGGAAAAGTCCGTCTTCAAAATCTTTAGAAATACAAACAAAGGCCAGGCCTCGCATTTTGGTCGCGTCAATAAATAATAAGTCCAGATAAATCTCATTCAGCCTCATCATCTTATTATCTATTGTTTGAATTGCATTCGACGCGACCAAAATGCGACGAATGAATCAGGCTTATAACAGTTAATTAGAAATGCAAGTGAGCTGAGATTCTAATAGACAGGGTCATCAATAGATATATAATTAAACATTCATAGTGAAAAATTTCACATAACAGATATTCCAATATTCAGAAATTGAAATTAAAACCAAAATTTATAGTATGAAGAATATACCCTAGAGTTCGAATGCATTCCCCTGTTATTTTACAAGATATATTTATTATAGACTGTAATATGCTAATTCGTTTCTTATCCGAACTGGGTAAGTTGTTAAGGCACGACAATGCTGCAGACAGCAAAGTTTTTCGAAGTAAAACTACAATCTACTTTTTCCCCTTCTTGTTCTGTTGTGGAGCTCCGCCCCTGGGAGGTGTGACTGGTCGACCAGAATTGAGTCCACCATATTGGTATTTGGCTTTCTTCTCGGAGGGTTTTAGAATCTACCGGTGGAAGGAAACATAAACGTCAACGCAAACGAAATTATACAACTATAATACCAATCTAATTGACTCAGGTCAAAAAGTCTTCCGTTCAGACTGAATAAAATTGTGACTGGTTATTCCAGATAGATCGTAGAATTGTTATATTTATAGCCTATAAAACGTTTAATACTGAACAAGTTTTATTTACTCTAGTTCAGCTCCGAGGCAAAAATATTTAGAACTAAATAAAACCAATTTCGTCGTTCGAGAGTTAAAACCTAGTTTGTTATCGTGTTTACAAAAATAGTCTATTTTCCACCATTGGGTGTGTCTGGTCTGGGTAACTATAGTGATTGAAGATTCCTACAAGTCTTTTGTCACTCAGACCAACTTGGCTTGCAATATGGCACGAACAGATTTTTATATTACAGGATTTGAAAACCCACCTGGAAGGAACACATCAGTGTTTCATCAACGCTCATCATGCCACCAGCATTGTCGAATTCCCCGCAGTAATTTGGAGCTGAAAACAACGTTACCAATTGCCGCCTTGCAAAAAATTCGTAACCATCTTCGACTACCTAAAAACGAAAAAAAAAACAGACTCAGAGTGAGCTTTACAACAGGCTGTAGATGAAAAAACAGCCGATGAATACACTGTAATTACGTAATTAATAAAATATAGCGCTCTCTTAAAGGCCCATTTACACTTGCGATTTTCTTCTTTTGATAGATGCGAACGAGTAATAAGTTACGAATACTGTTACGTGTACGAGCTCCTATTTGAACATAGTTAACTAATTCAATCCTTCATATCTATCAAAAGAAGAAAATCGCACATAAAATCGCAGAAAAAATTGCAAGTGTAAACGGAACTTAATAAGGGGTATATTAGGCGAGAGATACAACGAATTGAGGTATTCTCTAGAGTTACTGTACTATAAAATAGTACAGTACCCTACCTGATGGGCCCTGCATATTAGATCCAAGTCATGTCTGTTGAGGAACTTGCTGACCATATCAGCTCCAAATGTGAATGAGACACCGCGATCATTTTCACCCCAGCCATTGGTGTCTTTATCTGGATCTGACCATAATAAATCACACAACAATCCTGTGTCGGGGACGTCTGTTGGCCTCATTATTCGCCGAATCTGTTCCATTGACTGCAAATCTGGCGAGAGTCCTGGGGGAAACAAGGGAATCGTTATGGAATATCCAAAATAAAACTACTTCCAAGAATAGACACCGTCTGTTCTTGATGTTTTAGATAAAACAAGCAGGCCCACAATAAGCGTGATAACTAGGGGGGAGGGATCGTGCATGCTGATGTATTCAGTTCTGTCTCAAGGATTTCTCTTTATGCGTTTTTAAAGAAATCTGTCGGGCAGAACTAAATATATGGATATACGCCCCCTACCGCGCTAGTTACGGGCCTGAAAATAAGAGTGTAAAGGCAGGGTCGATAAAAATTTTATATCGCTGTTACGATAAGATTCAAGTGTAACTACAATGACTTTTTCAGAGCGCTTAGGCCTAGGTTAACGCGTCGAATGCAATTCAAACAATAGATAATGAGCTGATAAACCTCATTAAGCTTCATTACCATCTCACTACCTATTGTTTAAATTGCATTCGACCCAACCTAAATGCGACGTAAGCCTTACCTCCGTGACAACAAAAGATTCTTTCGCCCACAATTGCTGCGATGGGTAGACAGTTGAAGCAATCTGTAAAGGTCTTCCATAGTTTAATATTGTATCTTCTCTTGCCTAGAAAGTGGGACAATATATTATTAAATTAGTTTAGCCATGTGTTAAACAATGAGTGACGCCGTAACGTCTAATGGGGACGTCATAACGTGGGATACAACTTTTTGCATGCACATACTTTTTGCATAACATCATGACTTGGGGTAAAAGGCCATAGATGAATGTTTGAATTTTTTTGTATTTTATTATAAAAAAATTATAAAACATTTAGCATTTAGATGATATTGACATTCTTTGTGTCACATACATGACATGTCATTATAGCATTATAGTATAACATTGATTTGATATAGAATAGATATAGAACAGATTGGATATAGAAGGCAATCAGGGCAGATTTTCTGGGGGGGGGATGCTCCAAAGTTTTTAGCACCACCTGAAAAAATTGAAAATGGCATATGTACTGTAGGCTCTAATTATGTTATTGGCTAAAAAATTGCAGTAGTGGATCCACTGGGGGTGCCCCCCTAAATCTTCACAGGAGGGGTGTTATTTGGTCAAATGTTGGACTTTAGTAGCTAAAAACACATCTAAACTGTTACATTATTTGGTATTTGTATAACTGTTGCATTACAGCTAAATCACATCTAAACTGTTGCATTATATAATATTTCACCAGGATCCCTCTAAGCAGATCGCAGCTTCAGCACTTGACTAGAGGCTTGCACCTTTGGTACGCATTGTTAAGTCAACCTGGTCAGCCTGGAGTCAACCAAGAGAGACTGAGTAAGAGTTTTATAGCACACTGATGCACCCCCCACCCTCAGGAGTCAAAGGAAAATGCCAAAAGACTGGAAAGTTTTACAGAATAAATACTTACTTGTACACCTACAATAAATCTAAAAAAGAAAATGAACAAAATCCTGATCACTTACACTCATCATAAAATCCATATATACGGTTGATACTTGCACACTCGTGGTTGCCTCGAAGTAGGAAGAAATTTTCTGGGTATTTCACTTTGTATGCTAACAACAAACATATTGTTTCTAATGATTGTTTGCCTCTGT